TATAGACACAATTAACAGTTATTCTGTCGCCTTGACTGCTCTATTTCGCTATAATTCTATAATAAAAATAAACATGTCTCACACTGAATACGATATCTGTCATAAACGTATTGAGAGGCATATAATTTAGACAAATTAGTCGATTTGGCACTTACATATTTATATACGCGTTCTAAATACACATTTTATGATAAATCTATTTCACGACAAATGGCAATCTCATTAATTATTAAGAAGACAAGGTCGGGGAACACTGCCAAAAACGTGTTTCCATTCTACATTTGGTTGATCATCCCAATTCGTTATTTTAGGTTTTGCCCGTGAATTTAATTAAAAACAATTTTACTACTGGAATTCACATTCCATGAATTTCCTGAATGCTCAACTACACGTCGCGTACAATACAAAATCACAAGAACTAAGCAAAGAATATTTAATAGCGCAAACCCAAATGATAAATCACAAAAACAATTTTGGATGAAAATGAATGTCTGAATGATATTACATTTTGAAGGTACAATGCCACTTCCATGAAGGCTTAATTCGTCATTTCCATGAAGCAATGGAAGTTTGCGCAATAAAGTCAAATGATGAAGAAAAATTATTTCATCCTTTGTATTTATAGCCTTTTTGCTGATCTCCGGAATTTTATATCACAGCTTTTCACATACGTAGTTTATTATCAATATTATGAAAAGAGCACAATGTCACTACTCATTCTCTTATCTCATGGTAGCTTTAGTTATTAACGTGTATCGCTTCCATGATATCTAACTTCCGATCCAAAGTACGGCCTAATTGTGGTGTCACAGTGTTTTTCAGGTTTACCTCTAAGCGCATTTGCACGTTATCTGATAACTAGAACTCAACTTGAATTATTTGATGGCAGATCTATCATGACAAGCAACGTATCAAAGTTAACTTAATATTGACGCACACTGTATAAAATCGTGTAAAATTTAGTAACATATAAGTTGGACTTCTGTTTAGAGATATTCGCTATACGAAATAATACCAAAAAATGTTGAACTCTGTGCAATGTAAATCATAACGCGATCACTGCCAAGCTTAGATAAAAACTAGAGATCACTTCGTGAACATTCCAACTGCGACGTAGGCTCGATTTAATCACCTTAATTTTAACAAATCACCATGCTGATAAAAATTTGTCCAAAAAATATACTGATATCTGAAATATTTTTCAGTACAATCCTACTATTTAAAACGCCCTTCTGCTTGCGAACATGCAGCCACGTCTACTTCTTCGTAACCGATTTCTTTATCACATCCTTTTCATTTCCTCTCTCGATAATGTGACTCTTATTTCGAATATAGTTGTGATAGTTCTATTTGATTTTCATACTATTTCTTTGATGAATATGAAAAGCCATTTCAAATATGAAAGCAATTTCTTGGTTTGCATGGTACCGCTCTCACCCAATGAATTGTCATTTAAAAATAAAAGCAAATGAGAAAACTTGACTAATAAGACAAAAAAACCTTATGTTACTCTTGAAAACATACTAGACAATTGTCCATGAATTTCTGCAACTTTTTTATAAAACAACTTTGAACAAACTCCATACGTCTCCACTGTAATTGCTACTAAGAAGTTTTTTGCTGAATCTTGAAGTTTTTATAATCGATAGCAGTAATTTATATGATATTCAGAGTAAATATAACAAAGAATAAACCGTTTTTAATAGACGACGGCATTACTTTTTTTTTGCAATTTTACGTTGGGTTTGTGTTTGCATAGCAATTTTTGATCGGTCGTTATGGTAGTTGTAAATACCAACAGTAAATGTTGACGAGGTTCGTATATTTTTGATTTTCATAAAAATGATGACGATGATCCAAACTCAGAACTGAAGTATTTGTTTTGTACGCTATGTCGAATCGAGTAACTAAATTCACAACTCCTTCAAACAAAAATATATTGCATCTGATATTATTGACGAATATCAAAACATAGCTAAATTTAGACACTCATTCAATTATATCCTATCGAACATGGATAATGGATTTTTCATGAAACATTTTTGAATTGAATAATGTATGGTGATTATGGAATATCATATAAAAGCGTACATCATAATGATTTCGTTTAAACCTCGGAAATTTATTACAAGCCATCAGAGCTTATAACATACCTCAATTCTGTTTTCGCTACACAATCCACTAAAAAACAACAATAATGCCATTGTTTATACCAGTTTTTAATCCAACTGACTCGTCAGCTCTATTACTAAACTGATTTTTTGTCTCTGAAAATCTATAAATGGTAGCTGATATTTTTTTTTATTTTCTATTTTTATTATGGTCAGTATTTCGTGATACGAAACTTTCGTATGTTGTTGATTTATTCTTCTCTATTCTTCAATGAACTATATATATACCTTTACTTATGCAGCACTAATCAATATTACATTAAGCTTGAATTTGGCGTATCCTTCCCCACTTTCAAAATTTAACATGTCGTCATTGTCAACTATACGTTCTTATCTTTCATCTTTGATCGCTTAGCTGAGGGGTGTGATGACAGGACACATGATAACGATCGCAGGCAGAAATAATGAAGGTAAACTTCTTTTGTATGGACGTTATTATTGCTGTTGGAAATCTACATTTTACCACTCTTCGGCGATGTTGAGAATTTCTAGCAAACTCAATAAATAATTGATATTGATGTAAAATATCAGTACAACCGCATTTTAAACGGTATTTGCAGTATTTACAACATATATATAATTTGAAATAGTGTACTTGGTAATATATTAAATTTTTAACACAAATGAATGTATATTGACATTGTTCTCTGATGAATTGAAGTTCGTGAAATGGATAATAATGCTAACCACGTCATGACTTCACATCAAAAATTACATGACTTGTTAGATATGTATCAGTGTAGTGCCTCCTGGCGACAAGCTATATTTTCATCAACTAAACATAATTATTCTTTATTGAAATGAAATTTCTCATAAATATGCTTTAGCTATATCATTAGTATCAAAGTATCGCCATGTATTTTATCCAATACGATAAGCCTATCCCGACAAAAAATTGTCTTTGATGCTATGAATCACAGTTGAATCGCGCCTTGGGGCTTGCTTCGATAGACTCGATTATGTATATATTGCACGACTACAATAAGTTATGGGCCGTTTCTTCTAATTCATGCTGATTATATTGATTTCTGTGAAAATTTGAAAATTCAATGATTGGGATTTCGAGTTAATCACAAAGTTCCGTTCTCTCAAACAACTCAGAAAATTGTATACCGTCATACGATTTGAAACTCTTCTAAATCGATGGTTTTAGTGTGATATATTCATATCTGGCTAATCCGCTGGTATTGAATAATTTTGAAGATAATTCGTAACAATTCGCCTAATACAAAATGGTGAGATATTCGATAGCAGTAACTTAGTTACTGATGTGGAACCCATTTCAACAACGCCACTGGTCCGACGGCTTCCTAGTCTGGCGAATCTATCTCATCATGACGCCTTTGTTAGGACTGATATGCCCAATATTATTCCACATTCCCACCTTTTGCTAACATTTATTTCTGTTGTTATGTGTTTTCTTCGAATCTAGTATTCCGTATTTTTATTAAAAAAAAACGATAGTTCATGGTCGAGACTAAATTGAAACGAGTTTGAACGATAGACTAATTTACTTCATTCTGTCGTACCACGTGCCAACAACGTTTTTGCGTTTGGATTTTGTTGTGCACAGATTCTCTCTTACAATTTATTTGGCGATATGATGTCATTTTTTGGAATAATTATTTTAGAAATTCACCAATATTCACAACACATTGTAGGAAACAACTATTCCACAGATACAGCAGTGAAATAGAAATAGGTTCGTTCGTATTATATATATACAAAATACAACTGGATGTTGTAAACATTTTTCGGTTAGGATTCCGGATAAACTTATCGACGATTATGATGTCACATAGCGTAAAACACCTGTCGGTCACATTTATACTGAAATTTTATGATGCACTTTTTTAAAATTTGTTAACATTATTCCAGCGAAGAAATAGAAAATATTCAATATACAGAGAATGATTGTCTGACATGACAATGAAAAAGGAGAGAGTCGTATATCATTGAATCAAATGTCATGACTAGAGAAGACTAGTAAAGTATAGCAGTCATTGAATAAGCAAACATAATCTAAAAGGTCGTAAAAAAATCACAATCTTTGTTTTTTAAGATTCTAATTTTCATGAACGTGTGTATCGCATATAAGGTACTGCTGTACTTCGGTTCGTAATTCGACTTTCATGTCTATATATTTAAGCATTGCTCTCTAAATTGCTCAGATTTTAGAACGTTTCAAAGCTGATCATTAGAATCTGTACCAAACTAAGCAAAAACTGTCCTGTCCCACTCTGAAAAAACTGAACGCTGGTGAATCAGTGGTGTTTATTGCAGGTATTTGTTATAAATTATTATCATCATAGTGCTGTTAGCTCAATGATGACAATTATCAAAAGAATGTATACAGTGGTGTTGTTTTCCACCTATCAGGCAGGACCATTAGGATTTGGTACATAATCCCTGGGTCTGTCTTTAATCTGCTACATAATCACATTCTACATTTGTATTTTATTATCCTCATCTTAATGGTAACCAAATATGAATTCCGTATTTTGATTGACATGAATCTATTCTTGAGGCTGGAATTATTGCAGGGCGATTATTGTTGAAATTTATCCTCTTACGCCCTTTCTCTGCTCATCTATATATGCATCAATGACATGAAATCAACCTTCCATTCGTCCCAATGTTAGCGATATTCCAGCAGTATTACTTTGCCTGTTAAATCGCTTATATATATATACAGTATATATATATATATGTGTTTGTTTGTGTCTACATGTTCCTAAAGCTGATATAGTTCTCTTACAATAACAACATAGCTGATTACTATTTCCAGATAAATCTGTGCTCAAATGCCATCCTCCTTCGTTTTTGCAGATTGCTGGGAATTATTTGAAATGGGATACAATATTTCTGGAATCTATCGAGTGAGACCATATAGATCACGAGAGACATTCCAAGTCTACTGCGAGCAATCTTACAATGGTGGAGGATGGACGCTTATTCAAAAGCGTCGGGACGGATCAGTGGATTTTAATAGGAATTGGCAAGCATATGCCGATGGTATGAAAATTGACTGTATTTCAGTTTAATATAACAATAATTTAATTACAGGGTTAAAATCTGCGCAAAATCATACTTTTATTGTATGTTTGATATATTTAATAGTAAAACTTACACTCCTTTGTGCATAAAAGGTGATGTAGGTGCTTCATTGGGAGGGTTCAATCCACAGAGCTATTTCCTTATAATTTTGTATTATGTATATTTTATAATTTGATTTCAACTGAATAAACAACGTAATTTATTACTTTTGCAAATCTATTTCCAATATTTAATTCACATCGTCGTTTAGTCTGTAGTAAGTTCACATTGGGATTTTGAGATCGCATTTACGAGATAATTAAATATATATATATATATATATATGATCTAGTATTCTAGTTATCGCGTTGGTCTGTCGTATCAGCGACTCAGCGTAGCGAATTTTCTATCTATAGCCTAGCCTGCTCATCCTCCTCTTGCTATATATACTTCAACTTCAAACTAGGATAATACAAATTATCTCTTTTGGTTACCCAGCTGTGAAAATTCGGAAAAAACCTGTTTGTTGCACTTTTCGTGGGCTTAGCATAGTTATGTAACAAAAATACCAATAAAGTTGCATCAATTTGCTTCCCAGTACCATTTTTTCTTGATTCTGCAATATATACAGTGCACCAAAGCTAATTTATTTCCTCTTCAAGAACAGTTTAGTGTCTTCCAAGGCGTTGGTCCAGATAAACAATATTGTTTGTTGGCCAAGGACTGAGAATGAATATTTTGGTGAACAAGGGTAAAACTGAAATTTGCTCATAATCGTAAAATAATTATCGATAAAAATATGCGAGAATGTTGATCACTTTATACACATAAGCTTGGAAAGCATGACCTTTTATCACTTTCCGCAGTGAGTATAAGTAAGTAATAAGTAAATAACGATCGCAATTTCAAATAAAAATATTTTTGTTGCAGGTTTTGGAGATGTTGATGGCGAAATGTACTTGGGGAATGATAAAATATTTTATCTAACCAACCAAGATGTTTACAGGCTCCAAGTTATATTACTCGATTGGGAAGGTCATCGGGCATATGCTGAATATGAAGGATTCCGTGTTCACAGCAATAACGATTACTACTCGGCACAGTTGAGTACATAACAACCAATAGGTCGAAAAATTGGGCTATTTGATAAACGTCACTTTATTTGTGTATTCGCCATCTTTCAACTTTTTCAATAAATACTGTTTTATAATTGAAATTGCTGAATGCTTTATTTTACAGGTTAGGACAATATACTCGTGGTACAGCGGGGGATGCATTTAGAGGTGCAGTGGATGATGGCTCCAGAAATGCGCATCTTGCTCGATTTACAACAACTGATGTTGATAACGATAATTGCAGGCCTTGTTTTGTTGATAGAGATGGTAAGCAATTTAGGATAGGATAGGATTTACATATTTATCCCGGGGGAGAGGAAAGCCGATAAGACGGCTTATTCATATGGCGAACCACGGCCTCTCGTCCGGTTACCATTCCAAGTCGGGTATGGGATTAGATTTACTGTATTGTTTGTTTTCGGAAGCATGGACTTGGTGGTGGAGGAAGCCGTAACCGACCAGCGGTTACGTGAACCACCCAACGACGGCGAGGAGTCCAGCAATCCTCTCGCACATAACCATCCCTGCATGGGATTCGAACCTGCGAACCCACGCAGAGTAGTTAGAGGTGCGGTGGCGAGCGTATTCCTAACGCTTAGCCCGTTGAGCCACACCGCGTGCTAAAAAAAATTGAAGTCGAGATGAACTGTTGTTATAGTTGGTGTTATACTATATCAACTATATAATTTTTATGTTCCAGAATTTGAAAATTGTGCCGACCTAGAGGGTGGTGGGTGGTGGTTCAGAGCCTGCTCTGATTCCAATTTAAACGGAAGATACATTCAACCACAAGATTTCCCTGCTTGCGGAGATGGATGTTACGGAATAACTTGGAGAACATGGAGAAATGATCCGAATTATTCTCTTAAAGCCACTATCATGATGATCAAGCCGTTAGCTGCTACGGAAGAATCCTAGTTTGGATATTTTGTCCTATTTTGGATATTTCATTACATCTCACTTGTGGTTTTGATCTCACTGAATCTACGTAGTTGGTCATTTCAATCAATTTCTACCAAATGTACAAAATCGGCTGGTTGCAGTCAGCACATTTTTCTATTAAGGGAGTATGGTAGTGACACCTGGTTTTTAATATGTGATCAATCAAATCAACAACATAGTCGGTGCAATATTAGCAAAATAAGTTGGTGAGTGCAGTCTTTGTACAAAGTAAGATGTACTTCGATATCTACTCACAGCAATCACTTTGAAGTCAGATTTTGCAAAAGCAGTATGAAGAGAAGTGCAAATGCTTATGAAAATTGTTATTGTTGTTTTATTACGGGAATCTTTATTACTATATAGTATATACACAAACCATTTGTGATTCATGAGTTTTGTAGCTTTTTCGCAAAGGTCAAGTCTTCTTCAGACGAGTTTGCCAACATTACAAGGGTATCGACCTCTATTTTCTCATTTACCCCCTGTCAAATTTCAAAAGTGAAATTTATTTTACACCTAATTAATCTCTCCGTAAAAATATGAAAATCTGTGGCGCTGGACTTAACCATAAATTATTATGCAACAAGGAAGGAACTTTTAATCTTAATATTGGCCATATTCAATGGAGTCAGGAAATCGCTGACTTATGTTTCAGCAAGTTCGTTATGATTGCATTTGAAAGTGCACTTCACATTTGAATATAACAAAAATAGAAAATTTAGAACTCAGTCGAGCATTACGTCATCACAACTCAAATTTATTCAGTATTGACAACCGTTTCGAACCGCTCGTTCTGCACAAGATGCGCTTACACCTTGGAAATCGACATTCACAACTCATCTCTTTCACATCAAACCTGTTTCGCGTTTTATTACCATCATATTGGTGGTTATCAAGTTTGAAAATAGTTTCGCTGTCTTCATCTATAGGCAAGATTTTACAAGCACGAAGACCAGATATAGCAATGGTATTCAATACGAAGGCATAACGTTGTTTTGTGCAGGTGGTGAGAGATAGACGAAACTTGAATTTAAATCCGAATTAGAGGGAGAGATAACACAGCATAATTGATAATTAACTGCTATAGCGCTAGCATATCGAACAAGACTAGGTGAAGACTAGAATTTTTCTAGAAGATTCCAGTGTGCGACCGCGGATTTCAAGCCTTGAACATCGTTTCTGCTGCGTCGAGACTATAGCATACGCAGCCGTACAGCAATCAAAAAGACAAGAAAACAAAGATATTATCGACGTATCAGGATAGGATTTACATATTTATCCCGGGGGAGAGAAGAAACTTTTAAAGATGATTAAACAAAACACAACTCTACCCACCTGCCACGTTTCATCTTTTTATCTCTTATATTTGTATGGATTTTCAAGCTTTTGACAGCTACGAGTTAGTTTAGTGTCACCGCGCTGTGTTACGGTATCAGAACTTCTCTATCTTTAGAAGTTCCTGTCTTGTGACAGCGTGAAAACATTGGGCTTCTAATTGCATTTCTGACCGTCATATATTTTAAGAACACGGTTATTTCGTACAAAACTCGTCAAAATATAAACAAAGCACCACATCACAGCAATCAAACAGACAAAAACACGGTGGTCGCAAATTGGTTGACAAAGATATTACCGACGTATCGGAAATGCGCACCCCCTATTCCCCCTCCTTTAAATGTAGAAACGCAGTATTTCCGGGAGGTTCAAATTGGAAACTGTATTATAGATGTGCCGATACCACTCAGATTGAAAATGAGATATCCAGATAATAATAAATTGATGTTTGAGATCAAGATGCGTCAATTGGATCCAGATGCATTTTAGGTTGCGTGCGCAGGAGTTTGTGCCATTATAACGTCGTATTTCATAGTTTACATTAAATTATCAAATCCACTAATATGTTATTGATATATTTCCTCATAATTACTATGTAATATTAAAAAGATAGATAACCAAATAGCGAAAATATCCAAATACATTACATCTGAACTTTTTGCGGTAGTTTTTAAAAAAGTCCAAAACCAAAATTCAGTTTTTATATATCATATTCATGGATATATCGCTTAGAAACAAGTAGTTGTGAGCATACCGTCATAGCATTTAAAATCATTATCTCCTCCGTCTCCACTTACTTATGTGAACGTGGGTTTTCTACACTTATTTAAATCAAGATGGAAGCAAGGAACAAACTTGATGTGAATGATCACATGAGATAAATCAGTAATCTATTTCCCACGCGAGGAGTGGCAGCTAATTTAAATGTTGTTCGAATAGCTCTTATCTATGGTATGTTATTATATTGTGTTTTCGGTTTAAAAATTGTGGGGATCCGCGTTTACTTCAGAGAAGCATGCTAACTAGGGAAACAATACCATATGATAGGATAGGATTTACATATTTATCCCGGGGGAGAGGAAAGCCGATAAGACGGCTTATCCATATGGCGAACCACGGCCTCTCGTCCGGTTACCATTCCAAGTCGGGTTTGGGATTAGATTTACTGTATTGTTTGTTTTCGGAAGCATGGACTTGGTGGTGGAGGAAGCCGTAACCGACCAGCGGTTACGTGAACCACCCAACGACGGCGAGGAGTCCAGCAATCCTCTCGCACATAACCATCCCTGTATGGGATTCGAACCTGCGAACCCACGCAGAGTAGTTAGAGGTGCACCGCCGCGCCGTTATGGCAATTGATGATTAAGCCTCAGCTATCTGACAGTAGTCGATGTCTAATGGGAAAGTAGGTTATCGGAATGATATGATATCGTGATATATGCTTTTAATGTCTTGTGCCTTTGTCAGAATTCGATTGCTTCTACGACAAAAACTAACTAAACTAAAATAACAACTTGTGACAAATTCATTTCTGTTACCAAATTTCCAGTTGGTAATTTCCAGTTATCATCGTTAGGCTATACATACCACGCATGGCGACTTTTTAAAATTATTCGTCTACTAAAATACCAAGCGTGTGTTGCGCTTGGGCGGTAGGGACGGATTCATTGGTAACTCGAAATCCAAGATATACCTATTTTATTGGGAGCTCAAAATAAATATAATAAAACGCTTTGTTTTGCGTCATAACTTCGTATTTTCGGAAATCGGGTGTCGTGAAAAGTAAAATTTGATCTGAATTAATCGCAAATAATGTTTTATCATCTAACGTCGGGTAGCCTACTCATCATTTTCCGGGAGAACTCGAAAAGTCATTTAATTTAAAATAAAGATTGTTTCGCAATTCCAAAAAATCAAGATTGTAGCAACCGGAAAATTGCTTGTAAGATGGCAGTCGGTACCAATAATAATTATTATTATAAGCGAACTATATTGTAAAATTGTAAAACGCGAAAATGGTGCAATAACGCCGTCTTCGCGTTTTGAATATTCAAGCCGGGATTGCGGTATTTGATGTCTGCCGCAATTAGGAATCCGAAATACAAAAATTGACGCACGCCGCCGAAGAGGCGGAAACCGAATCCCAGGGATTCGTACCTTCCGGATTCGGTATTCTATATCGTCCATCCCTACATGGGAGTATCTGAATTCTTACTATTGTTCTATAATCCTGGTATAAACCTATAATACTATCCAATTTTGCAATCACAGAACAGCAAAAATACTCTGCCCCCACTCCACTTTGATAACTCATGGTACCGGCGCAGTGATGACTGACAGATGCCAATACCCCCTGCTCTATCCTATTGTCTAAGTATATCTTTTCAGTTATTTTAATCAACAATCCATTCCAAATACGCGAATAAGTTTAAAAGAAAATCCGCTACCGTAAGCTTCAAAACAGAGCAAATTGATAACGTCGTAATGCCTCACTCGTGCGTAGCGAACCAGACGTGAGCGAACTATATTCAGTAAACTATGGAAGTGACTATCACCAAAGTGACTACACTGTTCCGCTTTTCGGTACGTACTTTGTTCGGTTTCAACTAAAAAGTAGGCGCTTGAGGTTGAGGTACATTATTATCATTGTATGTCAACGAAGCTTTCGATGGTGTAGATCTGGATTACGGTACCCTTTTCACATGCTTCGGAAAATTCGGATTCAAAGCTAAGTTTATGAATTTAATCTGGAGATTGAGTGATGATGAATGGATATTTGCGCGAAACTGTCAATCTTGAGAGTGGAGTTCGCCAGGAAGATTTTTCATGTTCAGTCAGTACCGGTATTCAATTTCATTGGATATAATATTGGTCAACAACTCTGTTTATTCTTTAAATTACGTACCAATAACAGAATAATAGTGTAACACATGCATTTTGCCCCATAAATATTATTATTATAGTTATAAATATTATGGTATAGTCTGGTATAGTTTAGTACCACATCCACTTCTAGTTGGCCTGGCTCAACAATTTTTGCATATGTCAATCCTAACCCCCACCTGCTGACCTGACTACGTCACCGAAAAATTACGTCATTCCGACGTCACAGTGGCGTAATAAGGCTCACCGAAGTATGCGGATGGTCGTCCAAAACGCGCAGACGATAACCCGAAATCGAGCAAGCTATTTCTCTCGTTTTCTCGTTGCAACGATCACGATAGGAGAGAGATCGCCGGCTTTAGCAAGTTCTTATCGGCGGCGCAGATGCCATTTCGGGCGATCGTAATTATACTTTGGCAATCCCTATGGCGTGATGGTGACGTCGTAGTGACGAAATTTTTGGATGGCATAGTCAGTTGAGGGTTAGGAATAACATATGCAAAAATGGTTATGCTACGCCCACTGGAAGTACTTGTGGTACTAAACACTCGGTACTAGACCCCTGCAGGACGGTATTGTAGCTTCGTTTAATTTTCCAAGACAATACTGCAATATAACATCACTGCAGCGCTGGGACTGATTTAAGACAAGAAAAACGTAGGGTATAATATATTATAAAATTGCGGTCTTACTACTTACTGAATACAGCGCGAAACACCGCAAAGAGCGCGAAACAGCGCAAAACAGAGGGAAACAGTGTGGAAACAGCGCGAAAGAGTGCAAAACAGAGGGAAACAGTGTGAAGCAGAAAAAAATTTTGCAATGAGTTCGGGGCACCTTGTTTTGAGTTGGAGTACCACGGCAGCAAATTAAAAACACAAACCAACGTATGTAGCCAGTAATGCTGTAATGGCAGGTCTGCCCCTGTTGGTGACACATTTTGGGTACCATAATTTAGATAGATAGATAGGTAGATAGTTTATTTCGAAAACTCCATAACAAACCTAAATTTAAAATGGAGAATTCTGGAGGGCAAGCAAAACCTACAAAAAAGTTTAAAACATGAAGTATCTCATGTGCCTGCCCACCAGCACGCACACAAAAACACAAGCCCAATTAAATGAGGCTTGGGCCAAACTTAAAAAACAAAATACACGATAGTAATAAACTTTCGGGCTGTTGTACTCTCTTTCAACAATTACGTTGATAATGACCAATACCTACAACCTCATGCAAAGATAATGTGGGGAGTGGAATGTAATAAATTTGCGACGATAGTCATACTCATGAAGCCATGAAAGCTTTAAGAAAAACCAAGCCATGAAAAACTACACTGATTGCTAGATTGGGCATTGCGGAAAAGGTGATAAGTGGTTTAATATACAAACAAACGCAAAACCATGGCGGCAAATTCGGTGTGCGGACACTCATAAAAGCAATTATTAGGAAAAACACTAATCACACGTGAGCAGGTCTGTAGCCTAATTGATACATTGACGTGGCCAACATTGTTAAAACAGTACCGGTATACACACAGAGAGAACAAATCAAAAATATGCCACTAAATGAATGTTTAAAAATGTTACACTGCAAACTATTTACACATATATAGTTGAATACTCAGTATTCAAGCGGAATTTCTAGAAATAGCAGTATATCATACTCTTTGTCACAAAATAAAATATCTGAATCAATCCCTGTTGTATTCATCTTTCGATTCTGTTATGATGTCCGTATGTTGCCTTTATGCTGCCATGTAATTTCATATTTCGGCCTTTACTTGTTGATATTCCTTAAGTGCTGGTTCATTGTTGTCAATCTAATCTTTCTGCGCCGTTCAAAAATGCGACCGCACCCGACGACTGCCAAACACAAACTTTAAATCCAATCTTTTATCCATAAACTTCTTTAATTCCGGTGGATGGGCCTTGATCATGTTGATATCACGAGATACAAATCTAATAGTAAATACCGAAACACACAGCGCGTAGCATTCTCAGTCCAACAGCATTGATTGATCTTTCATCTAACAGAGCAACAAAAACACGTCCGACCCAGACGGCAGTCTGGCAGAACATTTTCCACATGGATATGGTTGGCTTTAGGGTTAGGGTTAGGTAAAAGAGGACCTCCAGAAGTATGTGCACCAAGATGGCGCACAACCTGAAAATAGTATGTGTGTGTGTGTGTAGCGGATTCAGGTTGTGCGACATATTGCTGCACATACTTCTGGAGCACCAAAAAGGTAGATAAAATTTCGCATGATGACCTATAATCCGGTACATAACCTTGTAAATATGCCGGAAATAGCGCCATAAAACCATGGCGAGAGGCTCCGTGGTTCTTTCGTGGCAGGAGGTGGTAATGACTGCGTCTCCTGTTTTGCGCTGTTTCCCTCTGTTTTGCGCTGGTTTCCTTCTGTTTCGCGCTATTTTGTGCTGTTTCGCGCTCTTTTGCGCTGTTCTGCGCTCTTTGCGGTGTTTTGCGCTGTATTCAGTAAGTAGTAAGACCCATAAAATTGTAAACAACATGAGGAATGGAAATAGAATTGTGTTTTTTTGTGATGGTACTTTAGACAGTTAGAAGGAGCCTGTTCTGTTCTAATACCCGGATACTGTAATATGCATTGTAAGATATTATCCAATAGCAGAATAACATAAAAAATTTTAAATTAGGCTGTCACATGACCAAAATTGCTGTTATTAGCTAAAAACTTTCGGATGCTACGGTAATTTTATTTTTCCTTTGGTAAATAGGATTATTTTTTCTCAAGGAATTCAATTACTATTCAATTACATTACTAGATTGCGCTTTTTTGTAGTATTTTGCGCAACTTCATTATACTGTATTATTACCGATATTGAGGGACAACAATGTACAGACGTATCCCAAAGGAGGTGTGTCTGATCATCTGTAAAATGGGTTTCTCTGAAACGGGACAATGTCACCCGATTTGTATAGTGTGCCATATGTTTTCTGTTAAAGTAAACCCTAGAATTAGATATATTCGTGGAAATGGCTTATGTCAGTATGTTACTTGTGGGATCAGTTAGTTTAACTTGGGATACTGATACTTTTAGCAGAACCATAAAAGTACTGTACCACAGTCCACAGTACGATTTATTATCATCAAGATTTCTTTTTTCTGTTTATCAGTAATCCAGTAGTGTGATGGTTTAACATTATTAAATGATAAAATGGATATTGATAGCAACTTTGATTTGGAAGATCGTATAAACACTTTTTCTCAGTGTTCCTCTATACTGAACATCAATGAAAATAAACTTGCGAAACATGGGTTTGCTTACAACACAACTCTAAATTGTACTGTATGTGTTGGATGTAAGAAAACTATATCTGGATGGACAAGGACAGATCAGCCCTGCAATATGAGATTTCATGAATTAGGATGCAAATTTGCACAAAGACTATCAAATGCTACTCATACTAATACCTCAGCACATGAAGGCTCACCGTGTACAAATCAATCCATTGGTGCAACATGTAGTAGTAGTAGCAATCAGAAAAAATTTAAACATTCTTCACCATCATATAAGTCTGAGGAAGGTCACCCAATGGCCTGTTCGCTTATTCCAATAAATCCTGAGCATACAATTGATCATCGATGGAACAGACAAGTGAAAAGTTTACCATACATGATTACAAATAATCCTGCAATTGAGGAGAGGATGGAAGTAGAGTTTCCAACTGAAATGAATCCAATATTAAACCAAAGTTATTCAAACTCGTCCTGTTCTCGTGAAATTTCTCTATCTCAGGCTTCAACTTCAAGGGAGCCAAGACATTCCAGGCCACTCAATTCAAACGAATTGACTGCTTTTCTTGCAGTTCATGATATGAAAATAGCAAAACACAGATTAGAAACTTTCAAAAGGTTTTGGTCAAGAAATATCGTTTTCAAGAATGTTCGATTGCTTGTTATATGCGGGTTTTTCTGTCTTGGTCAAGATGATGCAGTAGAATGTTTTTCATGTCGTTTGATTCTCGCAAACTGGAGTAGGGACGATAATCCACAAAGCAGGCATAGACAACTTTCACCTCATTGTAGATTTATCAGAGGTGAGGATTGTGGTGCTATCCCACTTCCTCCACAAGTACGTGAATCCGATCCATCGATTGGACCACAATCAAGAAGATTGTTACATTCAACTCAAACTCATATTACTCAATCTCCAGAATTTATATGTGAACGACAAGAATTGCTCCAGCTACCAGCATTGCATCTGAATCCACCATTGGCGGCCATTGAGAGGACAAATCTGTTATTGGAGTTTCCATGTATTAACCCAGCTAATCCGGCAATGAGAGAAGAACGAGCGAGGCTCAGAACACTAGAGAATCCTGAATTTCGTAGAAGAACTAGACTTCGTGCATCGAATGAAAGGCTTGCTCAAGCAGGAATGTACTATGTTGGTGATGGTGACAGAACAAAGTGCTGGTTCTGTGATGGGGGATTGAAAGATTATTTGCCTGAAGATGATCCGTGGGTAGAACATACAAAGTATTTCCCACAGTGTGAATATCTTTTACAGCAGCGTGGACCGGGTTGGGTCAATGAAATATCTGCTCAAAATCCTGATGTTGCCAGACCGATTCTTCCAGTGAGAGAAAGACATATTTTACCAAATGCTTCACATGGTTCACAGTCACCTTCATCTGAGGTATCAACTACACAACATTCTTCTGCTTTATCGCTTTCAGGTGAAAATCCTCAACAGCGATTGTTGCATCAAGCAATGCAATCACAAGCTGTTCAAATTGCACGTAGCATGGGATTTTCTGAACAGCAAATTAGGGAAACACAATTGACAAATATCAATATTAATGGAACAATTTTTCAGACAGCTGAATCGTTAGTTGATGCATTGCTGCATTGCAATGGTGCAACAGATCAAGAGACAAGTAGTGGGTCTTCAGTTCAAGGAATTAGCTGTTCTACTGTACAGATTACTCCACAAGGCACTGTGTTAAATTTACCTGACCAAACCATTCACATTGTTGGTGGAAATATTACTGCAAGATCCAATATTTCTGTACCATCATCTCATTCACATAATAGTCCTGCTTTCTCCGAAGCTGGTCCATCCAATAGCAACAACAGTGTATTGGTAAATGGAATGCCTGTAAATCAATATATGAATCATGTATCTCATGCTCCAAGGAATATTCAAATTGAAGAAGGTGCCGGGTCAAACCCAGCACCTCCTTCTGGCAATGGTTTAGCAGCTCTTGGATTGGACCTTCCTTTATCCTCCCCAATGCGTCGCATGACAAGACGACCGACAACAAATACTGTCACTGCTCCTAGAACAACATCACCTTCCACATCTGGCAATTCTACTCAGAGACTGGCAGAGTTGGAGAGAGAGAGAACTTGTAAGATATGTCTCACACTACCAGCAGATATTCTGTTTCAACCTTGTGGTCATATATGTTCTTGTGCTACTTGTGCTAGAAGGCTTTACAACTGCCCAGTTTGTAGGAGAGCAATCAACAGATTTATTAGAACTTATCATTCTTAAAAAAACAATATAACATTAGTAGAGTAGATGTTTGGAATTGTCATTCCTTTATAGTTCTCCTTTTACGTTTTGAAACATGGCCAGGCAGTTTTTGTTAACTAATTAATATCTTACACCAACTGTTAAATGTATTTTGACAAGTAAAGAAAGATTATAATCTTGTTATGTGATACTTTTTGAAAATATTGGTGTTTAAAATGTCACTCTTTATTACATGTATGTGTAAAGTGAATTAATATGCCTTAATTAATATATGAATGTAGTATCAAGGTTATCAATGTATGAATCACCATTGGCAAAATATATTATAATAATTAACTATTTTGTGATTGCTATAAATTTATCAAAGCCATTAAACTGTTCATACACTTTCTTGTTGAGTCGTTCATTGTTTTTTTATGCCTTGATAGTTCAATTAAATGAAATGATTTTTTGACGTATCTCAATAATGGATATAATTGTTCCAACTTATGTATGATTATTGAATATCATGATCTGAATATTTGTATGCTGTTTAATCAATGATTTTTCTATGAATTTAATTTGTTTAAATATTTGTTGCCTTTAATCTTAGATAACATTTTTGTTCTCATTGTCTTCATTTATATAGGTGATGCAGGGTCAAAAACATGCTCATTATAAGGGTTATTTCTGTGTTAGAATATGTTTATAGAATTAGTTTCTTTCACAATTACTTTTTTATTGCATCAATTAAACCTATTTTGTTCATGAAATATGAGCATAATGATATTTAGATATTAGCTTTTTACAATATGTTATCCCAATATAAGAAGCCTGGTGATTATCCATTTCTTTAAATGCTTCAGTGTTGTTTTGACCCATAGTTATTTCAACCCATGTGTTATCTAAAACACTACGACTTTTCTTTATTATTCATATCTTTATTGCCTTGGTTACAAATAAATTCATTTTTGTTTTCCATTTTTTTAAAATTAATATCATGTTACATCGGCTTGATTATATTTCAGATGTGCATTCACGTAACATAAGTATAATTATATAGTGCTCAAATAGTTGTTTCAAATTTTATGGCAGTTATATTTTAATGGCATAAAAATGGCAACTAACAATGAAACAATATTATCTTCTTCACAACTTGATCTTGAAAGTGATGATGGAATGGAAATACCAGTGAGTGACAGCAGAAATTATTAATCTTGCTACAATATCTCAATCTAAAATATGACTACGGAGTCTCAGAGTTTGTGTTTATTGGTTTTATATTTGGGACAGTTGAAGTCTTATTTTTAAACTCTTTAGTCTAGGATGTTAAATATGAATTTTCAACAGAAACTAAAGAGTTTGTAGGTAGTTTTTTGTTGTCAACATTTGGATATCATGAATTCGGTAGCTGGAATTGGTATTTTTTTAATCTGGAAGTTGTTTTTATCAAAGTGTCAGACAAAGCTCTTGTTCAATATTATACACCTGGTTTGAATTAAGTTATAATCAAAAACGGAAGAAACAATACTTGAAGTTTGGGTCCTACTGGCTGTATACATAGCCTATTGACTCTTAATTTCAATTTTTAGATCAATGTGAATGATGCTGAAATATTCCAAAAAGACATCAACACTCTTACAGTTGCGGATGTTTATAATATTGCTTCAAGTGTTGGAAGGGAATTTGAGAAACTCACGGATGCTTTTGGAGGTACGCATCATGCCTATGGGGTAACATAACAACTTGTTATTATGAAATTTTTTTATGTATAAAATATCAGTTCTGGGAAACTGTTCATCATTTAGTTCCTATATATTTATTATAATTAGCACACCATATAGATTGTATTGAATATAACAGGTTTACATGGCACTGTTTTCAATTTGAGCATTCTCCATTTCTACAGGGGCTATATTTTCCGACGTAATGCCAAAAATGATCAGAGTGTTGGAAATGTTGGAAGCTTTTGCAGCAAAATCTCAAAATATTTCCACAGATGTGGTTGAACTTCAGGTATCAGTTCAAAAATTACAAGCTGAAGAAAAAACAAATGTTACTAAATATAAAGAGGTAATATAATATGGTTACATTTGATGATCATGATGGGCTTTTGATGATCATGCCACTAACATCAATATAATGGTCCCTGCCTCTTGGTTACTGGTCTGCCTGTTTTCAATCAGCCATAAATAATCAGCAAGATAGTTGATAACCATCATGAAGAAGGCACATTTTTTGTAGATTTTTCAAAACTCCAATCCAGTCTTTATTAGCAGCTAAATTTTCAGAGAGTTTACATTTGAATGCAATGTTAGAAAACAAATTAGAATTATTTCAACATGACTGCTGGTGCCAACCAAAAAAATAATTTTTCTTAGTTTGCTCTGAATTCAGATATAATATTTCTAATGTATTTATCATGTTAGGATTTGGATATGGTAGAAACTGCTTGGCGAGAAGAAACAAGACAGTTGCTTCAATCTGTTGAGACTTTGCAAGAAGATAACAAAAAACTCACGCAGCTTCTAACTGAAAAACTGGAAGTACTGCTTGTTTTATTGTGATCTTCTGTGGGCTTTATTAATGTTAATTTTCCTAATTTTGAAAATATTTACTACATAAGTACGTAGTATATCCTGATTTAAAATATTCTTAATTAATATGTTGTATATTAATGTGTTTAAAGTAATTGATTCACATGTTATTCCAGGCGCCTGTGGATTCTCAAAACAACAGTGACCAACAAGTTTCTGTTTTATCAATGCTTGAAGAGTCGGTTGAGAAAAAAAGAGATGAAATTCGCGAAAAAAACCTGCAGATCGAACAACAAAGTGCAGAATGTGAAGCGGTTAGTATTGATCAAGGCAATTTATGTACTGTAAACCATCACCAGGAATAAAATTTTAAAAAAATTTGCAGCTTTGGAGGAATATGTAGCAGCAGTTTTTATATCAATGTTTTGTATAAAATGAATCACTTGAAGCCCGTTGAAGGTGAGTCTCATGTCAAACATACCTAGTTCTAATGCTCCTTCCTCTGTTTTGGCACAAAATACTATTGTATAATCTGGCATTTGGTGAATACCTCACTATTTGAAAATTTTTAATGGTAAAGGTGAAACTTAAATCTTTTCTTGATATTTCTTTTCTACTACATTTTTAATCAGGCTTTACAATCACCACGAAAGTTTGAAAATTGAATAAAAATCTTTTTTGTCTACCTGATTGTACATATGTGTCAATGTTTTATCACAATACCTCACATTTATTTAGTTATCTTCACAAGCGCAACAACTATCAAAGTTGAATGTTAATTTGCGGCGCAAAGTTGCAGTAATGGAACAACAAGCTTCAATCCTGGCAAGTCAAAATACTGATCTGGAAACTATTTGTAAGGAAAAAGATCGTCAAATCAAAGAATTACAAAAGAGGTAGTTATTATATTCAAGTCAAGAAATGAAATTTTCTTGACTTGTCATCTTTTTGCCAAAAATAGAGTTACTTTCTTGCTATGGATCTTGATCCATTGTAAGTTGTTAGTTAAGTTCAAAATGAATGGAATTGAATGAATTATTTTATTTATGAAAATCAATGGGTTGCATTGTTTTAATACAATACAATACGTGCCAAAAGTAGCACACTGGGAATAGGTAAGTTGCCTGTCCTGACTGATTTTTAATGAAGAGCATTTGTTTTGTAAGCAGCACAGAAGTTATTAAATTAATTGTGCAAGTTTAGGCAAAATTCAGTCCTTCAGTCTACTTTTGTGAGTGATTTTTGGCAATAATTGATATTTTTCATCACATCCTTATTTATATTGTATGTAAATGCTGAGGAAATCCTATTCATGTATTTGCAAATTTGAATGATAGAAGATTTCTCGGTATTATTTTAGGCTCTTCCAAAATTGGTGATATCCAAATTTAAAGCATTGGTCTTTTTCTTAAGTGTTGTTTATTGATTTTATTTGAGTGTACTAGTGGGTGGTATTATGTTTATGAAAATGTGTACAGTTAGGTGGGCTAAAAGATTGAAATATTAGATCTGAATGAAGCATCTTCAACCACGTACAGTCTCTTTAATTGCCTATCAAATAGACCAGGGCTTCCCAAACTTTTGAGCTTGTGGCCCCTTTCAATATTTTAAAATTTTTTGCGACCCCTGTTCACGTTGGGAATGCTAAACAGTTTGAAATATGCATTTTTGGTATTTTATTGATACAGTGAATTTTCATCTTTTAGTAGGCCTATTCGATAACAAAAACAAACATGCATTTATTCAAATGAACCTCACTCATCAGTGTGATGCGTGCGACTTCCTTTTGTCTCACAGCAAGTCCAGTCGTAGCTTGCTGTCTGTTAATGCAGGCCTCAATTATAATGAATTATAATGTTTGGCCACCGACGGCATGGTCATATTCCGGCATTGTCACTCACTTTTAATGATCAAGTTTGGCATGAGGCAGCGGTTCGTGTGAAGCAAAATTTTCAGGAAAAAACTCACGGCGCACCTACTTGAAAGAATGCTGCCTTCAAATAAAACATAATTTTGTGATCGTTAATGTGTACTTTATGCCTTTTAAAGTACATAAACATGTAGGCCTAAAGAATAAAGGCAAAAGGTTAACTTCTCTTCCTTATCACTGCCTGGTTTTTCTTTAAAATGGTAAACAAAATCACCCATGTTAGCTAAACTCGTTTAAGCAAATAAATAAACTGCAGCATAAGAAATTGAAGCAAGGGTTTACATCTACTGTTACGTAACAGTAGACCCTACGTAACAAAGGTGAAATGAAGTTATTGATTTATATACACATGGTTTGAAATAATAAAAAAAGTAAAAAAATTAAAATAAATAAACTATGTAAAACAGTGGTTCCCAAACTTCTAAGAGTTGGGACCCATTTAACTTTTTACGACCTAACACAGAACACAGCAATGGCTAATCATCGCAAAACTACCCTGTTTCCTCAAAAATAAGACCTGGCCTGAAAATGAGACCTAATTTCAATTTTAAAAATGCTTTTAAATAAACCCTACCCTTAAAATAAATTTAAAATGTGTGGGAGAGGAAAGGTTCAATGATCTGAGGTGAATCTCACACCACTATTCAAGATTGTGTGATGTCACAAATCACAATTATGATATCTGTCACTTGAGTTTTGTATATGAATACAAATAAAAACAATGAATGTCAGTTTTTCTATAATGTTTATTAAAAAATCTCACGATTTTCTACAATGTAATTTTATTTTTGATAAATGAACACGAAAGACCTCTTCCAAAAAAAAAAAACCATTGTGATATTCTCCAAAAAAAAAAAAAAAATCTACATCCTGACTAAGTTTCGGGGAAACACGGTAAGAAGTGCTGTACAGTGTACAAAACTGCTATGCGTAAAAAGGCCACAACATGGTCATTCTTTGTGTAGCAAATTTTTGTTCGTAAAAAGGAAACTTTCACAGATTAGAATTTAAATTTAAATCAATTTTTTTGTTTTTTTTGAAGATTTACGTATTCGAGTCGCCACCGATTCTAATAACCAGTATAATTAATCAAAGCTTTCTACATCTTTCACGACCCGCTAAGATTCCGTTTGGGGCCCTACCAGTACGTCTCGTCGCAGTATTGTAAGTCAATATTTAACACAAATCTCTCAATTTCGAGGCGCACTTATAGCAATTCGTCTTCGGGGACCACTGGCTTAACGATTGAAACCGGCATTTTTATGCAAGCACGCGCAAATCGGGTTTTACGACCAGAATAGGTATTGTATTGTTATTCAAATGCGATAATTCTACCCTGTTTCCCCGAAAATAGGACCTAGCCTGAATTTTAAAAATGATTTCAAATAAGCCCTCCCCTTAAAATATTCAAGACCTAGTCAAAAGCGCAATTTTTTTTCGGCATGGTTCATAGAAAAATCTTTCCTACTCGTTTTAAATGGTTAAGAATCTATGTTTAGCAGGTATTTTAAATAAAAACTTGTGTGTTATTTATAAGTAAATGAAAATCTGTTTTTATATTTTGTATATTCAAAAATCTCATAATTCTCTATTTGTAATTTTGTTTTTCAAAAATGAAAATAAAAGAAATCCCCCCAAAATAAGTCCTAGTGTTACTCAGTGAAAGAAAATTGAAGACAATGTTTTATTTTCAAAAATACACGGTATGATGATACATTCGCGGCCCTTAGCGGGGCCGTGGCCCCTAGTTTGGGAAGCCCTGGAATAGACCATGATACGACATTGCTTCGATCATATTATACGTTAAATGAAATTAATTCAATACTGGAAGGAAGAAAGGTATTGAACAACACTTAGGATGTTGGGGAAAATTTTTAGCATCAAAATTACTCCGAGTTGTAATTTTTAAAATTGAGAACAGTTTTGGGGAATTGTTTTGGTATAATTGGCTTAATAACATAGTATTACCATTGTTCTTGCTAAGTTCTAATGATTACAAACGAAAAAAAAAAGTCTTTTTCCTCGGATTGAAAGTGATGAACATTGCAGGTCATTAGATTTCACTCACAAAATTGGGTACCACGTTAGGGTTAGGCCATAGTTTTATTCCGATTGTCCTTTATTTTATTCTATTACGAGTTTGGGGACTGTCTGTGTTAGTGAAGTGAATATACCCCCTGCCATAGGTTTCAGTCCCTATACACAACATTACACCATGTTGTGTAAAGGGACTGAAACCTATGTAAGTAGGCGAACAAAATTAGGTACCTCTATATTGGTAACAACTACTTCTGGAGCGCCCAAAGTTGTGGCATTCCTATTATTAAGAAAATGTTATATCTGTAGTTCAGATATGAACTACCGTAACAAGTGCTTTCAAAATAAATCTGTCTATTTAATTTAGATTTTTTATCAGATACAATGCTACAATTCAATCAAAGTTAATTTATTTCAGGTTATCAGACAGCCCTCGGGTTCTTGAACCAATAAATGAAGAGGTGTTTTCTGAGTCAGTTGCCTGTGAAGCATCAGAGGTGGGATTTCCTATCCGATTATAACATATATGTTTAACATGTCCATAAAGTTGTGTTGTATGTATTTGTATTATACAATGTTTATGGATATTGCTCACAGTGCTCTTATTCCTAGTTTGGTATTGAACAGTTCAGTATATGAATAATTGGTTGGTATTTAATTTCGGCAGCTCGAACTCCAATGAGGAAGGAAAAATATAACATTGTATCTTTCAAATGATTAATCCAAAAGATTCATATTCAAAATGAAGAGCAACAATAAACTTTCAAACATGATTTCATACTCTTGCATTACTTCATTATGTAGCATATACATGTCTCACGCAGTCAATAATGTTTGAGTCAATATATTTTGTACTTTAGCTACCCATTGATCCTCTGTTGGCTAACAAACTGGTGATTGACTTGTCTGACCCTGATCGACCACGTTATACACTACATGAATTGAAGGTACATTCCAAACATCTTGTTTTTTCGTTCAATGTTTTATGTAATATAAACTGTAATCTGTAAAATCAAATGTTGAATCAGATATTAAGTTAGTTTGGTGTTATTGTGTTAGGCTTATCTCGTGCCATTAATAATGTTTTTTAGGAATTTTATAGGATTGATATTGGCTCAATAAAGATTTGATATTTTTATTAAAATTTGGCCACTGAGAGTTACACTCACTGAATGATTCAATAAATTAAAATTCTCTGTCTACATGCCACATCATTATTTCGAGGTATTGCAGATTTTCAAAGTATTTTGAAGGAATGTGTCGGAAAAGAATGTCACCAGAAAGGCAAATAAATAGGCAAAGGCTTTGGAATTTGATTGAATTCAAATATGGAAGTGATAATTTTGTATTTATTCCCAGGAAGTGCTTGAAGAGAAAAATAAATTCAAATTGGAAAATTTTATCCTTAAAGATGAAGTAAAATCTTACAGACAGTGAGTGCAGTGATTATTTTCAGCCTATAGGCTATATATTCACCTGTTCTTTTCATAATATTGCCATAAGGAGAATTATCATGTTGTGGACAAATTGATTGCTGCTGTACTTGTCATTGTAGCCAATCATAGTAACCACTCGGTTTTGCTCTTATGCCAATTTAGGATTCAGCATTTAGCCTAATAGATTACTATAAATAAAAAAGGTGAACTGCTTAGTTGATGAATAAATAAATGTCAGATACAATATTGGTGCCTATTAATATTTTTTTCATATTTAAGTAATATACAACAAACTTTTACATGATAAACGAATGCTGCTGATTAATTTTTCCATAGCATGATTTCACTTTTGGCACAGATAATTTCATGTGTCAATACAATCAAATTATTTTTGAAATATGAAATGAAACTCTTTTGTTTTAAACTTAACCTCTCTATTCCAAATCATCTGAACAAATGCTGATGTGCCTGTGTTTTATTAATTATTTCAATTTTAATTTTTCAAAAGCTCGATAATCTTTCAATTAATTCAGATTACTTACTGTAAGGTAAGTTATGTGTGGATAAATCTTTTTCTGAGTTTTCAATTTGTAACAATTATTATTTTGTTTCTGTGGTTTATTAATACATTTTGGTATTTTCACACTTGTTATTCAAGTTTTTATGCAGAGTGCGATATGCTGTGTTTTAGAAACAATGGTTTTGTGATGTCACTGTAACGTGCATGGAAATTGATGTCTTCTCTTTACAAATAATGATTGTTATTCTCAACCCCATATCTGCACTCTGAATTAGCTATGAATAATTTTTATTTTTGCATGAATGCACACTGATCTTTTTTGCATGATTACCGGTACTTTTTATCAAATATTTGTCAGTAAATGTGAGTTAATTTGTTCAGTAATTTTCTTTTTACTGTGATGATAAATCCTTCAATATCCTAGCTGTATGTTAAAATAGTTCAATAATATTCGCTGATTGAATATAGCGTGATTCGGTGCCCATGTTTCTTCGTGTCATACCTATGGTTTAGAACCTTTCCAGAGCAACTGTGCAAGGAGTATATTAATTCAACAATTTTGTATATCATGGATGATGTTGCATTTACATTATGATGCTGACTAATAATACTCATAGAACTTATTTCCTACTAGATTCTTACTCGTCTTCATGTAAAATTTACAATGATAAATTTATTCTGTGCTGAAATTATTATTTACGATCTAGACCAAATATTTCTTTCTTTAGACCGAGATTAGTCTGGCAGTCATTGTAAATCACAGTCCCGCTCCAATCTATCTACGGTACTTTTCCACATTTGTAATTTTTTCTTGATTCACCAGTCGACTATTCAAAACTATTCTTTTCAACTTATTAATTATTCAATATTTAATTTTTAATAATAATCTGAGTAAAAGACTTGAGTAAAATTTGTATAATTTAAAGTTTAAATTTTAAGATGTGAAACTCTTATATCATGGTTTTGTGTTCCGCTCAGAGGTTTAAAAAATATGAAGCGTCAGAGCCATTGCAGTTTCAATCGAACTCCAAAGCAGTGATGTCCAATTCGAATGTATTCGAATATCATTTTTCGTGTTTATAAGAATACCACATATCGCGCACACATCCTAGCTGTTCGCGTATTGATTTAAAACATTTTACAATTTTTTAATCGATATTTTATCGTAACCGAAGACAGACCTGTGCCGCGCGTCTATAGATTACAGCCGACATCAGAAGATTTCAAATAGCACCGATTTGAAGTGCTTGAACACGTCGTCGTTTTTGATTGAAAATATTTTACAATAATTAAAAGTATAAGTTTATTTCGACTTCATAATCAGCAATAGACGATAAAAACAAAAGTAAAAGTAACTGATTATAGAATCGGGAAAGCGATTATCAGATATTTCAACTTAGTCGAGATAGTTTGTGCGCCACGACAATAAATCTGAAAGCAAATTGTGTCGTAATTAATTGTTCTCATTTTCAGTGACCGAACGTAACAGGAACATTTTGTATTTCTTGCAATTTACAGCGTATAAAATAGCTCTTTGAATATATTTGGTATCTATCGCGGATTTTTATCGTTATCCCGGCGTCGTTGATGAGAATATCGTTCAGTTTAAGTTGGCGGTATTCATTTATAAAAAAGAATAAAAGCATAGCAGCCGTCATGAAATATTTAAACTAGCACCGACTCGAAAAATAATTCTTCGGCATTGGCTGATGGAAGTTTGGGAATCGGGTTCACTCATTTGATTATGACGATGATCATAATAACATTTGTGTTTTTCTGAATCAACGAATTGTTTCGTGACCAAAATAAAAACTAAAGCCCGTGGTAGCATAACAATTAATTTTTGTGTAGAGGGATAATTGTGTCGGAATATAGCTTAACGATGTCAATGGACTAAACAACACTCACGCTGACAATATACAGTCATAATTTATAACGAAAATTAGCGGTGTTAAAAAGTGTGTGTGCCGTTAAGGACTTTGATTTTACTATAGGATTTTAAACATTTCACTGGGCGCATAGTTGCTTTTTTTCTGTGCTTGCTAAGATACACCACAATTCATAGGTGTGAATACTGTATGTTTATTGAGTCTCTCTTGTTAGAAGCAAGAAAACCACTAATTTCAATCTTATCACAAATGCCATTTGTATTTATAGCTGCTTTACAATAACAGTACTAGTAGTAAGCTTAATCCCTATGTTCCTGTATTTTAGAAGAGTGAATAAAATTTATTGAGAGTGGGAGTTTAATATGTATTAAAAATTCCATATTCAGAAATATTTTTCAGAATGTATTCAAAATAGTCAAGTATTCGGTTATGGCCAGCCTTGTCAGGTACATGTTTACTTTCTGGGTATTTGTGCAACAACATCTTCAAATCCAGTCAAATTCATGCCCAAAAGCTTTGTTGAAATTAGTTTTGAGACTCTGTGTTATTGAATCACCCTCGTGTATTCTAGGAAAGAAGAATCTTGGGAAGAGATTGATCCTCAGGAATTGTCGTGTATTCCTTCTCAACATGAAGTTAATAATAACCAAAATATGAAATCAGAAGGTGGAATAAGGAAATTGTAAGCTATGCCAGGAACACAATTTGCATTATTTGTGTGTATTTGAATTGTTGTTTAAAGAAGATTGTATTTGTGTGTGAATGGTGAATAATTCTATAATTCTGTATCATTCTATGTAACCAATTATCTGTTTACTGTGCAGTCCGGTTAAACTTTGTCTCATCCGTTGCCCTGGTTCAGATTAATCATGGATAACTTTTTTTGTCAAACTAACGCTATGATAGTGACTATTAGTGAGGGTTGAGACTAAGATTCTTTAACCTCCGAAATCGAAGCTTCTGTTTACTGCTGATCCCTCTTCTTATCTGGCTTATTTATCTATTATAGTTCTGTTCACTTCGCAGATTCTTTGCCTTTTTCCTTTCTATAAAACCCTACGAGGCTGTGAAAAATTGAAATAAAATCAACTTATTACTCCTTTCACCATTTTTGGTAATAATTACTAAAATCATTTTTGTATATTCTCGTTCTATAATTTTAACAAATCATAATCATTCTGCTTATTTAACCAGATTCTCTTTCTTGCAACGACATTAATTCATGGTGTTTTATATTGGAAACTTACCTCCAGAATCAGCATGGTATAGTTGATTTGATTTTACTGATCTTGAGTACGAAAGGATGTGAAGTGGCAAATTTATGCCATGTTGGTAGCAACAGACAAAGAGCTCATTTGTAGATACTACAATCAATGGAACTGGTTGTGAATACTAAATTCTGGTGGGTTTACATCCTGCCAATGGACTTGATTGTACCCGGACATATGTTCAATATGACCATCTTCTTAATTGAATGATTGAAATAACTTTTGAAAGTAGTCAGATTCACAAGTAGCCTACATCTTACATTCAGGTTTACATCAATCTTCTTGCGAGGTGACAAAAACGAAAAGATTTCAAGTGATAAAAAAAAACAAAAAGCAAGTCATGTCCGCTTCGATCTCCCGGTATATGGCTTCGATGATTGTGAAGATGTGCGAAGTAATGACGATTGATAATCAAACTCTAGCCAAAATACAGGGCAATTTAATCACTCATCAGACTATAGAATAGATGTCAGAAATTTCTCATCAGTGTCACAAATGTATTTACCGGTGGTGAAAATGACAATGGTAAATATGAGAAATTAATTATCAAATTGAATGCCTTATGGGACAAAGTTTGTTTTATAACTCATTAAACAGAAATTTATTGGTCAATGGTTGCTTAGTATTCTATGATATAATCAACCAAATACTCATCTTGTTTCAATGCTTTCATGTTCGGTTCATTCTGAAATAGGGTCATGAATAAGAAATTGTTTCATTCGTATTAGTTTCAACTTCGGCCTCATCGAATTGTTCCCTACTTGCCAACAACTTACCATTTTTTTCCTTTGTGCCTTGCTTTTCTTACAATATAATATATATAATTTTCTTCACATAATATAATTGCTGTTCGTCCATTCATTTTCTAATCTGTTGAAAGAGAATTAATTTTATATTTACATAATCCAATTATAATTTGGCACTGTGTTATCAATACATAGCTATATTTATGATTGATTATTTCATGAAGATAATAAATTTAATCAGGTAATGAGACCATCTGGCAGCAGTTCTTTTGATGTCAACTTTAAAGGGAAGTAAATCTTATTTGGAGTTCTTTTGCCCCACTCCTTTGGCGATTCACACTCTGTGGTTTAGCAACCTACGGTCCACCGAAGAAACATAAGACCCGCGACCTATCAATTAGGGGGGTAATTTACGAAGGGGATAGGTGCGATCAGATCCAATAATAAAATATGAGATTAAGTAATTTGGACTGCGAATTCACTCCTTCAATTCAGAATTTTAGAAAGAGGTTCCCCTCTGTATCCAATTCACCAACAACTGGTTACCCCATTCAGGAATAATGACGAACTCCTAGATCTAAAAACAAGATTGATACTCGCTTTGCCTTTTGACTGAACGCACAGTTCTGAAAGAAACATAATAAAACCAAACTTCGATGTCCACCGCCGCACAATAATTTATACTTGAACAAAGAAGAATTGGCACAAAGTTAGTTTATAGGTAATAGACTATCCGTCGAAATTAATCACTCTGACAAAAACATTCAGCGATTATAACGAAATCAAACGACTTTTTCGGTCTTCTAATAATTTACGAATAGAGTGTCGGGTTGTCGGCTCATTTAGGATAGAAAATATTCGAATCATTCGGTAGAAATATTCGATTTCTCCCACCTTTAGTTCGTAGGCTATATATGTGAATAATATACAGTATATTTAAAATGATTTGATAAAGATATTATATGCGGCGTTATAACAAAAGGGTTTCTCAATTACGGCCCGTCAAAAGGTTATAGATCCGACTTTTGGCCCGCGACTTGCGAAAGATTGCCTACCCCTGAAGTACCCCTAAAGGATGGTTGGTCCAATAGTGGTTTGGCGCATCGTGCTAAGCATTAAAATTACCCTTGTTATCGAACCCCCGATTACTCTGCATTGGTTCGAATCCCGCGGGGGACAATTGGGTGGGAAAGGATTGCTGGACTCCGCTACAGGGTGATTCAAGTAAAACTGCTTGTTGACTGCAGCTTTCTACAGCACCAAATGTATGTACTACAGGTTATCTGAAACAAGTCACTGACTAACCCAGGGATGGGCAATTACTTTCCTGGGTGGGCTAGTTTTAGATAATAGACTTGATTACTGGGCCGAAGGAACAAAACTCAATAATAAACTGCAAATAAAAAACAATTTAGAGTTACTATCTATCATTATTTTTTTTTTTGCTGTATTGACAAAACTGTATAAATGAAAGTGACCTGCATCACTGGTAATGAGAATACCATTAGCAAGAACATTTTCAACTGTTATTGGGAGAACACTTCACTAGAAATGCACGGTTAACTTGTCCGAGCCATATTTGCGCATCGAAGATTCTCATAAAATTTAAATAAATCATTTGTCATTGAAATTTATAGAAAACTAAAGACAAAATGACAGTTCATTAGCAACATAAATTTACCCAAACTTGGTGAATTACTGCAACAACATGGCAAGGGTAAAAATTGAAATGTAGGAATTTGTTTTCAATTCACCCTTAGGCTATTGAATTTCTTATAAATGCAAAATTGGTGTTGAGCTTTGTAGAGTAAATAATTTTACGCTTAAATCATCAAACATGAATATATATGTTCACAAAATAAGATATAACCAAAAGCGTATATATATATATATATCTAATACGGTAGTTAAGTAGACATACCGTGCTAAAAAAGCGACAGTTATGTAGACGGAAAAATTGGGTAGACATTTTCCTGTCCGCTCAATTATTCCACGTTCCATAATTAAAACGTTTTGCGATATTTTGCTGAAATCTCTTTTTCTCTGATAAAACAGTATCAAAAATAATATGTTCTTTCAATATTTTTTAAATAATTGCACATTTTCGCCAACTTTAATGGGACAGTAGTTTTGCTGGTTTATATTCAACGGGTTTAATTTTCGTACATAAAGTGGACATTTTATTTATGCAAAAATCTTTTAATTTTTCGGTATATGTTTTTACGATTTTTGGAGAGTAGGTTTGATAATTTTGATACAATAACCAGGCAGAACATGAAGATCGTCCGTTCTGTTTTTTGCAATATAAGCTCAATAAACTGAAAAGGACCTCAATTCACAACTCCGTACTGAAGAGGCTTTGTGTCGCAATAGTAAAACTGTCGGGTTCGCTGAGAACTTTACCACGTTTGCCGTTTTGTTCGCAAGTAACCTGGGCGCCGTGAGGGGATTGGGATCTTCATGAGTGCGTGATCGCCTAAAATTTAGATAAAATAGAACAGTTGTGTTTGGAGAAGCGATCCAAGTCTTTTGTGTCAGGTGTTATCAGTTACCCAGTGAGTTGAAGTCGAGTCATAATAACTTGAAACAAGGATTTCAACGTCACCGAAGAATGCTGCTGGAAATCATCACTCATCGGATAAGGTGATTAGTCATAACGATTTTTAATATTAGAGTTACTATATTTTTGGTGTTGAGATTTTTCACGTAATCCAGATTATCAAAATATAGACTACTGATACTGTTATGCTTTTACTGGTCGTAGTTCTGATCTGACCATCAAAATAATGCTACGACTGGGTTTGCATTTGTAAGAGTGTGTAATTCAAAAGGATTTCTAAATCCAGATGAAAATACAAACGAAGATTGTGGAAATTCAATGAATTCAATTTTTTGTCGAAACAGAAGGATATACGAGAAGCGAGTGGTTGACGTTTGTATAGCTTGGTGTAAATAAAAATATCTAATACACCGCTTCATATTAGATTAGAATATTTTATCTTCGGAAAACAGTTTTGAAGAATTGCATTGCTAGCAATTTTGTTCTGTGATTTGGCACATATCCCTGTGTTATTTTACTATCCTCATCTAGTTATTTACTGGGCTGTATTTTTTGTTCACATTTAGGTGACTCTCCAACGAGATGGCCCACGTTTCAGAACTTGGCAGACGGAAATGCGGGTAGTGATTCGGAGAAAGCTGTGCCAGGAGGTGACTAAATGAGTTTGCTATGCTTGTTTTTTTTTATTAAATACGGTATCGTAAATTGATACCAATGAATGGTAATAAACCAAATCATAATATCATTTGTAGCCCATCACAAATAGCGCAGCTATCTACGAATAATTGTAGTGCACCGTGTAGAAACTCTGGTTTATTTGAGTAATAATGCAATTATCTATTTCAAACATTTCGTTTGTTCGATCAATCAAGAGTAGCGTAATTCTGAATTGGACTAAAACACTGTGATGATGTTCTGTGACTTATGCATGTATTTTTGACCAAAGTTTCAGATAAGTCAGCAGACTATACCGCACCATCTTCAGAATCACTTTCAATAAGCAATGTAAGTGATTTCAAAGAAAACCATATATATGGAAAAGAAAAAGGCTGTAAATCAATTAAAAAAAAAGCTTCTAAACAAACGCGAACCAGAAAAGAAAAATAATTGCACGGATTGGTATATCTTGCGAGAAGTTTATTGTAAAGCTTTAAGACATCTCTGTATAATTCATAAAGATGAACCGGCAGTGAGCATAATCTTGTCTCTCCTCAACAACCTAACCTAGTGGGCATATCCACATTCGTATACATACTTGGCATATATTTTTACTATTTATTTATAAATTTAAAATAACAATCATGTTTTTGTATTCCGAGTTGGTGCAAAAATTTTAAATAAATTGTGCAAAGATTCTAAATTGATATAGAGGTTCAATAATTTCATTTTGATCAATCACTGCTATAATTAGGCGCCCTGATAGGTAGACATTTGAGTTATAATTGGTGTAATGTTTCTCCTTTTAGTTGACATGGCAAAATTTCATTTCGCATTTATAGGCCCCACTGAAAACGTCACTTAATTGAACACTTGAGTTATGCTGTGTGTAATGTTTCTCGATATTTTATTCAGAATTTCGTGTTTTAATTACATACCTTCTGAAATGGTCGGATGGTTGAAATTTTTTCAAATGCTTCTCAATATTATTGCCATTCCAAAATATCATTTTGCATTTACATGACACACTTACGTAGCTGAGTAGATGACGATTTGCGATTTATTTTCTGTTTTGTTTTTCAATATGGTTTCAAAATTTTGTTTTATAATATTTGTCATTCTCAAGTTATCGGATAGGTGAACATTAGAGATAAATTTTGAGCAATTTTCCACAACATCAAAATATGATTAGTATTCGAAATTTCGTATTTCAGTTAAATTTCACACACTTAAGTGTGTGAGATATATTTTGTTTAATAGTTCTCAATACGATTCCAGAATTTTGTTTCAATAGTTGTATGCCACACTTAGGTGGTCGGATATGCGGACATTTGAGATATATAGTTTGTGTAATGTTTCTCAATATTATTTCAGAATTTTCATTTCAATTTTTGTATGCCCCACTTAGATGGTCGGATAGGTGGACATTTGAGATATACTTTGTGTAATGTTTCTCAATATGATTTCAGAGTTTTCATTGTGATTGTTTTATGCCACACTTAGGTGGTCGGATAGGTGGACATCTGTCATATACTTTGTGTAATGTTTCTCAATATGATTTCAGAATTTTCATTTCAATTCTTGTATGCCACACTTAGGTGGTCGGATAGGTGGACATTTGAGATATACTTTGTGTAATGTTTCTCAATATGATTTCAGAATTTTTATTTCAATTCTTGTATGCCACACTTAGGTGGTCGGATAGGTGGACATTTGAGATATACTTTGTGTAATGTTTCTCAATATGATTTCAGAATTTTTATTTCAATTCTTGTATGCCACACTTAGGTGGTCGGATAGGTGGACATTTGAGATATACTTTGTGTAATGTTTCTCAATATGATTTCAGAGTTTTCATTGTGATTGTTTTATGCCACACTTAGGTGGTCGGATAGGTGGACATTTGAGATATACTTTGTGTAATGTTTCTCAATATGATTTCAGAGTTTTCATTGTGATTGTTTTATGCCACACTTAGGTGGTCGGATAGGTGGACATTTGAGATATACTTTGTGTAATGTTTCTCAATATGATTT